ATAACACCCGAAAGTCTATTTGGTTAAAAGTCATGTTGGCACTTGTGAAGTCCAATTGTTATAAAGGTCTTGTTGGCACTTAATAAGTCCAATTGGTTGTAAATGTTTTGCAGGCACCTAGGGAGTCTAGCTAGGTGGAAATATTTGTATACTTTTATTGTTTGGTTTTGTAGTTTGTAGATACTCATTTCATACTACTTTTTTTATCACACAAGTACTTCACACTATATTGCTCACAATTTGTTTTTGTTTAGCACGATAAGTTTTGAACAGGTATTGGTTTTGGGGGGAAATCTTGTAGAACCCAATCAGGTCACCAGAGCTAACAACTAATTCCATGTTGGTGAAGAATAAGTTGATCACTAGGATGGGGAAAGTGGGTAATAGGAGAGCTACTATGTTAGGAATTTGGATTTTTCCCTCATACCATCCTCATAGCTCTTACATCCATCCATTGGGAGTGTCTCCATGAATAGAAACATATAAATACGGAGATGCTCCTAATGCATGACAACAAGGCCAGTAAGGATGGATTTTGTGAGGACAAAATCTGAATGCCTATGCTAGGCAATAGTGGGAAAAAGAACAATGGGAAAGAAAAAGTAGAAAAGAAAGAAATAAAAAGGAAAAATGGAGGAATAGAAGTGAGGAGGGAAAGGGATAGAATTGGTGGCATTGCTCTGGTTGCAGGAAAATAATAGAGATGTAGAAGACTGGTTTTTGACATCCATTGTTACTGTTCAATCTGTTTCTCTGCAATAGTCAGATGAGGCTATAGGAAATAGGGGAGAAATAAAATGGAAAAAGGGTCTATTTGGTTTGTAGTTGGAATTGCAATTAGAATCAAAACCCCTCGGAATCAAAATCAGAACAGTTTATTCCCTTAACTTGTTTGGTTCAGACAAGAATTGGAATCAGCTGGAATGGGATCTCATTCCCAAGGGAGGGGATACCATTCCACCAGGAATAGGAATGGGATTCTGATTCTGCCTAAATAAATAGTTGGGGCCATTTTAGTTACGATTTCAAACCCCTATTCCTAAAAATCAAATGACCCACAATATAGATGAAGAGGGGAGATAGAGGAGAAGGAAATGGGAGAAGGAAGAGAGAGGAGGAAGTGAAGAAGGGAGGGGATGACGAGACTGTTTCTTCGTTTGATTTTGATTTAGAGAAAAGCAAAAAAAAAAAAAAAGGTAGAAAGAAAACAAGAAGGGGGGCCGAGATGAACTCACATTCTATGGACCCAACCCTCCAATAAAATTTGAACATGCCATTTTAGTTTTAAAATGATTCAAAACATAGGGTTGGGCTATGATATGGGAAAAACGTTTCTCCAATGAACTAGAATCATAAACATTGTAATCACTCAGTTGTTATTTATCAAAATTCATAGGTAGGTTTTAATTGGTCAAAACTCTTTTGATACCATGTCTTTCTCGCATCATAGATTTTCCAAAAACATAATGTCAATATCATCAACTTTGATGGTGAATTTTGTATAAAGATTTAAAATTAATAGTCATTTTTGAGTTACAACAGACCCTATCACAACTATTCCCTTCTTTAAGTACCAAAAAAAAAAAAAAAAAACTATCCCCTTCTTTGGTTTTTGCCTGAGAGACAAAGATCTTAGACCATAACCACGATTTTGACAAACCCAAACAATAGTGACAATGGTAAGTGATACATTGATGATAATTCTAGACACGATACCTACAATTCTAGACCATAACCACCGAGATTGATTTTAATCTATGGGGTGGTAGGTGATGTTCAACCAAGACCCATGCGTTGAGATGGATGAAAATTAACGAAGAGGGGCTTTGGTTCAATAACAGGTGAACTCAAACAATTGCTGTAATTGAACTTTCAAAAATGAAAAAAAAAAAAAAAGAATTGAGAGAAAAGGGGGAAGAAGGAGAAAAATCTTTATATATATACATTTTTGGTTTAATGTCTAAAAGAGTATTTTATAGTGTAGATGAGAAATTGGATGATGTGTTTTTATTCAAAAGGGTTAACTGTTGTGTACCGTGAATAAAGATGTATAGAATAACCACACTACATCTCCATAAACATTTCAATCTACTTTAAAGGACATGTTCATATTTATTGGAGATTGATGTAAAAAGTGAGTTGAAAGGTTGATAGGATGCAAATTCGGTAGGAGCACATTACCTTAATGAACAACTGTTAAATCTTAAAAATTTAAACTGATGTGGTAAAGTATGATTGGTCAGTCCATGTAAATGGTGGACCTTTGAGAGCATAAAGCTTTCACGTGTGGCGTGAAGGAAATAAGGGGCAAACCATACTATGATGTTTCTCAATCCTTGCCATAATTTCTCGGGAATTCTGGGTATTTCCTTTCATTACCCACAATAAAGTATAGAATGGAAATTTGAGTGCAGAAGGACAGACGTGAAAACTTGTGTCCACATGATGGGGTGGGGGATCTCAACTAGATGCTGTTTAGTGTGACATTGCTTGGGTTAGTTCTAGTGCTTAAAAAACATCACCAGTGGATTTGAGTCCCATTTTACTTGTGAAAAATGCCGCGAAGACAAATGAAAATCAAATACAATTCATAACTCAATGTAGAGCTACAATTTTGGTTGGGTTAGCACGAATGCAACCTGGAAAAATAGGATTGGGTTGGGTTGAGTTGACAAGTATGAACCCGGTTTAATTTCAGAATGAGATAGGGTTGAGGCTTTAGCCAATCTAAACCCAATTTAGCTTCATATATAATTATGTATTTATTTAAGTAGTTTTTTCTAAAGCACGATACTTGTGTCATTTTATATATAATGAGATAAATATTAAATTGACCCCAACCCTATATAGTAGGGGAGAAAAACTATGGTTTTCAAAACCGGACTGAACCGGACGGTCGGACCAGAAAAACCGGGAACCGGTCACTTGATTGGTTCCATTTTTCCCCAAACCCGCTTTTCCCCTCAAAACTGTTGATTTTGGTCAGCAAACCACTGAACCGGCCGGTTAACCGTTCGAACGGTTTTGACTTTTTTCAAAATTTTTAATTTTTTTTGTCAAAACGGTCGGACCATTCAAACCGGTAACCGGACCCCTGACCGGTTCAGTTTTAAAAACCATGAAAAAAACAATTGACTGATATAAGCACAGAAGTTGGGCCAAACCAAGCCCAACCTGAACCAACCTGATCTCAACCCAATTCGAAGTTTTCAAGTTTGGATTGGGGTTCAACAGCTTGGATTGGGTTAGAATTGACTTCAACCCGATCTAACCTGGCCCAAATTACACCCCTATCTTGGATTGGGATGGGATCTCCACTATAAAAACATTTCTTCAAACTTAGGGGTATAAGAGACTTTGAGTTGTAAAATGTGATGAGCTTACTCCAATTGTTGGTGGAAGTATTCCTTGATTCTTCTAAACTAGATGGATGAATATGGACTTGTACTCCCTCTAGTTCCTTCTATTGTATTTCATTTTTTAGAGTTCTCTCCAAGCCCTCCATTAGTTCTTTGCCCTCTTTCCCAAGTAAGGTGATTTGGCACAAACCTATCCCTACTGGGATTGGTTCATTCCACTGAGAAGTTTCCCATCAAAAGATTAATGCTTTTGTTTTGCTAAAGATTAATACTTTTGTTTTGCTTCAGTGCAAAAATTGGAACTTATCCCCACACTGGTGTGTCTTATGTAAAGTTGATAATGAGAGTAATTACTGAGATTTTAAAAACTGACCCAGAAACGGAACAGTTTTGGCCACCGATTTTCGGGTCAGCAATTCGACCGTCCTAGTCAAACGGTTCGAACTGTTTGAACATCTTACCCATTAGATTGGAATATTATAGTAAAATGCATACTATATAAGAGAAAATAAGGTCTGAATGATAGGTTTAAAAAAAAAAGGAAGAGGACTTGCAGGTTGCAACGGTGACGACGACGACTGCGGCAACAGTGACGACAACGGCGATGGTGATAGCAAACTACAGCTGCAACAACGACAACGATGGTGGCAAACTGGTGATGAAAGTAGATCTGAGATTTCTTAGTCTCTTAGATCTCACTCTCTCAGCCTCATACATCTCAGATCTCTCTCACCGTCTCATGCAAGAGACAGATTTAAGCAGATCTGAGATTTCTCAATTTTTAAAACCTTGACGCAAACCATTCTCTAAGTCAAACAATTCAACGATCAAACCATCTGGGTCAACAGTTTGTTGACTAATTCAACGATTTTTGACCAAACACCGGATTTGGGGTAAAACAAAACCGGTTGCTTGAACGGTTTCCGGTCCAAATGGTCTAACCATCCGAATCAACGACGGTTCGAAAGCATTGATAGTTATCATTTACTCATCCCTTATGATTATACTACATCTATTTGTTCCTTTCTGGATGTAGGCGAAATCCTTACAAAGCCTTTTTATTCTAAGCTTTCTCCTGCAACCAAATAAGAGGGAAAGACTAATGTGACAATGCACTAAAGCAGCAATACTATAGATGTTATGGGAAGAAAGGAATCAAAGAATTTTCATAAAAAAGGAAAAAAAAAACAAGGCTTGATTGAAACAATAATGATCAGGGTTGCCCATTAGGTAAAGTCTTTAGACATCTTCTCTAATGTTATAACAGATGACATTCTTAGGAATTAGAAGTGGCGAATTTTGCTCCTAACAAGATTGGTATTATCCATCTTTGGTCTCCACCAACATTAGGGTTTATTAAGCTCAACTTTGATGGTAGCAACATGGTAAACACAAGACTATCATGAATTCATGGTGTATTTATGAATGAAAAGAGCAAAGTTATTGCCCTATATTCAGGGCCAGTAGAGAGGGAGATTTTCTTAGAGCTGAGGTTTTACCAATGATGGAAGGAGTGCAAAGGGCAGACTTCGAATATGGGGAAATTAACAGTGGAAGAGGGCTCACAATTGGTGGTAAACAGGCTTAAAAATGAAGAAATGAAAATGTGGATTTACAATAATGAAATAGAAAAAATTCAGGTGGTTAACAAGGTACATGGAAATCTCATTCAGTTGGTGTATGTGTAGTGCTAATTCCATTGTATATACATTAGTGAAACAAGGGGTGGGGCGGCAATATCTATTCTGGGCACAATTGTAAGGAATGGGTGTTGTCAAGGGGAGAGAGAGAGGCTCTTTTATCTCTCAGTCTTTACCTGTACACTTACTCTTTGTACCATAACATTTTCCTGATCTTAATGAAAGCTTATAGTGGTCGATCAAAAAATTAAAAAAAAAAAAAAATCGTTGCTGCAGGGAGATCTCAGTTCTTCACGTCGCTAAATTCAATAGTAACTCCATTCAAGCATCCGCTTGACTGAAATTACAGCCATTGTCTTGATAGAATTGTGCATACGTGAGAGAATATCCACTAGGTTGGACTTTTGACTGTTTAAATTGTAATCACGAGGTCTCTGAAACAACAGCTCTAGCGATCATCACGGTACTCTGGGTTCTCTTTCAAGATGACAAAACCTTCCAGGATGGGTGAAAGTGGAATGTATCTGCAAAAACAGAAATTCATTAGTGTGCACTGAATGATTCAAGGTTAGCACTGAGCTATCGTTTTTCAGAAAATCATTCAGTTGTTTACTTCTCTGTAGCTAGTTCAGCCCTATCGCCAGCTGCAAGCAAAACTGGGGTCGAGTGTGTTTGAAATCCAGTTATGGTCTTAGGTCGTCCGGCCTGGCCAACCACATCAACAGCTTGGCCCACCCGAACAGGGACAGACAGAGGTTTCAGATTCTCATCCACAGTCAACAACATTCTTGGCTGTAACATTGAACAGTGAATGAATAAATAACTTGAGATAAAACAGACAGTATACCAGAAAATCACTGAAACTAGTACAAAAAATTGTGACTAAAATCAAGGATGAAAAAGTCAAAGTCAGACCTGTATGGCCACAACAACGAAGTAGAGGACATAGTGGTATTTCCCCAAGATGATAGATTTCATGTCAAGACATGCATGCAGTAAGACCACTAATCCAGCAAGTGCCATCCTGGAGGGAAAAGAAAACAATGAGATTTGAAAGCTACCTCAGCCTATATGCAATTAGTTATTAAGACTGAAATTGGAATTCAAGTCCATCAAAGAGGAGGTTTTTCTTATGTGGCAGACGTGGAATAATTTGATTTTACAACTGGTGATAGAAGGCATGGAATCATCTCCAAATTTAAAGAGCTTAGTTTGAATTAGTCCTACTTTACTACTTAAGGATGGAATCATCCATGTCTTCAAGAATTAATGTAGGGCTTAGAAAGGGAGAAGAGGTTAAGAAATTAATGATGGAATCATCCATGCCACAATGACATGGAATCATCCATGTCTCCATAAAGCCCCAGTTGCAAGAGTCATAATCGCTCCCAAATATGTTATGACGTCAAACCTTGGGACCTTCAGAAACTTTTTGGTGAGCTACATGAGAATAACATTATTGATAGAAGCCTTGGTTATTCTAAATTGCCTTCATACCAAGAAATCAGGTTTACTAATTGTTAGGACCAAAAGGCATCCATCCAATCAGCTTGATCGGTAACATCTATAAGAATCACTTTAAGATACTACCCAAAGAATCAGGTAAGTATTAGGATTAATCTCCTTTTTTCCAGTGTTATGGAGAGCCATAAAAATTCTTGAATAACAACCTTTGGGTCTTGGAGGACTCATTCTCAATAGTAAATCTAGAAAACAGCCATGGTCATGCAGACAGCAATTTCTTAGGTAGCCACAAAATAGAGAAAGCCTTGGTGATAGATATGGTGGACAAAAGTTTGTTCTGAATGGCTATCCTCCAAAGGATTTTACACTTCCAATCAAGGTAAAAAACAAGGTGATTTGCAGATGATACATCCCCTACCCTTTTTCTAACACAGAGTAGATAACGAGCAGCTAGTTTTCTATCATATGGTGCTTTGGAATGTAGATTTTGCAATTGAAGGATACCCCTTAAAACACCCGGAGATCTACATTAGCTAGATACAGCAAAGTGAAGAACAGGGAACATACTCTTATGCTGTGTTTTCTTTCATAGAAATTAAGAGAGAAACAAAAATTTCACAAAAATCCTTAAGAATCTTCCCTCAAACTTTTGGTTGCTGTCTTATTTTCTATCAAACCAAACATAACCTAAAGTGAAGTATCTCACATGATAGAGGCTCTTTATAAGTATTTGGTGTATCATAGGGTCCATTTTTTAAAATGCCTCTAGGTGTCAATCCAATCAAGTTCAGGTATTGGGATCCGTGAGACAGAAGGTTTAGAAAAGAAGCTTGCCTCATGGCAGAGGAGGGACAATTGTGTCTACCTGTGTCCTGACATTAATTAAATGCAAAATAAATGTGCTGCATATGTTGAAGCACCTCCATACAAATTTGCAGTGGGAGGAAAGCGAAATCCCTGGACCAATTGATAAATTGGAAAGTAACGTGTACAAGGCACGAAGGTAGCCGGCATCAGTAATCTGAGAGAGAAAATCATCCCTAATAACAAACTGGCTTAGGAGATTCCCTTTAAAACCCAATAGTCATTAATCATCTCAAGAAAATGCTTGCTCTCCAAAGAAAATCCTTGCAAAGTATTTACTTTTTTTTCTCTCGGAAAGCTAAGAGAGATATACTTTTCCCTCTTATGTTAAATATGCATCCTTCTCCCTTATTTTAGATATGAGTTGATAAAAGTGGACTTACGGTGATAGTAAAAATCGATCAGAATGGTAAGGTGCCAGTGTTAGTAAACCCTTTCCCAAGTGCACAAGACCTTGAGCAATTCGCACCTAAACATGAAACCAAACCATATTAGTAACACCCCCCCTCCCAAAAAAAAAAAAAAACAAAACAAAAAAGGGGAGACACAAAAAGGAAGAGTACATGTGACTTACACAGAACAGAAGACTAGCTTCTTTGTAATAATAGCTTGAAAGATTACGAAGCATGCCTGCTATTCGAGCATTATTGGTACCAGCACCTATAAGACCCAAGGAAATGATGGCTGCCTGCATAACCCACAAGTAATTAGTTCTGGGATATGTTTTCTGTTTCTTGATGAATTCATTAGTTCTGGAATATGATAAAAGGTTGGATGCCAAACATGCTGCATTAAGCACATACCATTGCTACTTCTGAATCTGTATCGTGGCTGAGTCTACTTAATGTGTCCATAACATTGACCTGGCCAAGCACATTGAGTAAATAAATTGAAGGTAGTGAGTTAAAAGTTATCTATCTACAGGGAGAGAACTAAACTTTATAGTTAATAGGACTTAGACCATTAAGCTGAACGCTTTAAGAGTTCAGCTGACATGTATGTCTACAGTCCACACATTAATTACCTTAGGATTGGAAACACACAGAAGACCAAGAGCCAAAGGAACTGCCCGGCGGATGTTCTGTTCACCATATTGTAATAGATGTTCCAATGATCGAATAGCCATCTCAAGACCCAGTTCTTCAGCCATTGCTGCCATAGCAATTCCAAGCACAGCAGGGCCCTGGTGAGTCTCACCTTTCTCAAGGTGCTGTGCACAGTGCCCCAGAAGATTCTGGACCTGTACGAATACAGATTATCAACAACTTCATAAACTAAAAATGATCTACAAGTGAAACCAGGCAGGCAAAGATGGAAGACCTTGAGTACATTCCCTGTTCCAGCATAGGCACAAGATAGCAAGGTCATGTCACAATATTTTCTGATTTTTTCATTAAAAGTCTTGGAAACTTCAGTAGTGGCCTCCACACTTTCCTGCAAGGCACCAGAAACTCTAACTATTGTTAATGAAATTGCCACAACTGTAAAACATTCAAATTATGTGTCTTTCTGGTGAAACATCAGCAGCCAGAACACACTAAAAGGATACCAAACAATCAGCACAGATTCAGGGATTGGCCACTTGAAGACAATATGATAGTAGAGTCAGAACAAACTAAAAGTTTAAGAACTCAGTAGGATAAATAAGAACGCCAACGATAAAAGAAAAAAAAAGAGAGAGACCCAGGGTCTTGACTTCAGTTACCTGCTTCCCAAGGTATAGAAGGCCAAGGCTTACAGGCAGAAAACGAGCGAGTGGCTCACCCAGTTCTGAATCACTTCGGTCCATCAAGGCAAAGACAATGGCCTGTGCAACTTCTTCATTGCATGAACTGACATATATCAAGCCCAATGAGATTGCAGTAAATGCAATCACATCAAGTGGAGCTTTTGCATCTCCAAGAATTGGAGATAATTTAAATCGTAACTGTTAATACAAGGCAGTATAATACGTAATCAGAAAAAAGATAAATAATTAAATCCAATAACTAATTATACTAATATAGTGGCCAATTTTTCTATTTAAACAGTCTAGAAGGTAAATAAATATAGTATCACTGACCATCCAATTATTCTTGAATTGTCAAAATTTAGCAATGTAGATGTATTTTCATAGTCTGGGACATACTCTTCAATCAAATCTAATAAAGAACTGATCAAACAGTTACACAACCTCAGCTCAGGATCTTATGCACCATGCACTGCAAACATATTGCAACCCCCCTTCCCAACCAAAAATATGGAAGAAAATAGCAGTCAGAGGGTCAAAAGTTAAGGCCTTCACCTGCTCATTTTGGGTTCCTGCATATGCAAGCCCGAGGCCCATTATTGCACCAATACGAACACTGGAATCATCTTTACCTATATAATCACCCAGAAGTGCCAACGCCTGAAAATGGATGACATCAAAAAACAAAGCAATGATATGAATTATAAAATAAATATTAGCCTGCAAATATTTTAATCTATACATAAAATGTTTAACTTACAGGATCGCAGTCATTCTGAATACCACAGTTGACAATACCAACTCCTAATAATGCACCAGCAATGACATGGTTGTCATTGCTGTGGAAGTATTTGTCAATTTGTGCAAGTCCAGAATCAACATCCCATAACAGAATCATACCCTAAAAGAGAAAAAAAAAATTAAAACATGACCACAAGTTGGGAAAACTCCAAAACCAAATTCTAGTGCAGGAGTAATACCAGACTTGCAGCAGCACTAGTTTTCCCATGTTCCTTATTCTTGAATAACCAGCTTCCAGTAGAAGCACCACTTGAAGATTCTGAAGGAACAGTCATTAACTTATCCTGCAGGAAGGAAAAGATAAAACTATAAAACACATGGAGGTTAGAATTGATAAAAATAAACATTTCATAATCACACAGTTACCTGGCCAAAGCCGGCATTTACAAATGCATTGACAAAAGTAGCTGCCAAATTCTGCCTGGCTGAATCAACATTTGCACTAGCACTTGCCCGGCCATCAAGCAAGTGCACCTAAGAAAATCAGATCAGACTATAAATTCATATTAATACAAAAGGACTATATACATAGTAAGGCAGATTACATGCACAAGGCGTTTAAAGTGTTTCTGGTAAACATGGTACCAAGGATCAAAATATCGATACACCCAATACTCATCAGTGGGTATTGGTGTGTACAAATATGACTGATGCCATACTTTTTTTTAATATTTTAGCAGCTTTATAGGGATGTAATCTATCACTCCAAAGTTTTAGTTTTAAAAACCTGTGTATATCGGTGTATTTGATCCTTGCATGGTACATGAAATATAAATTTAAAATTCATTTCCCATTGGGGAAGTAAAAGCATCAAAAACATCACACTCGGAGATACTAACAACAGAGTAATAACTTAAAGGCATCAAGTTGAGAAAATGATGCTGCATAAAACACAACACAAACATACAAACAAGGGTCATGTGACTTTGAATGGAAAGGAATTAATATGCAATAAATTGTACTCAAGGGATAAATGAAGCCAAACAGTAAAATAGGTCCCAATCAAGGATTAAAGTATTGGGTATTGTATCGAACAATTCAGATGTAGGTACGCTTTGCAAGTGCATGGGTACAGATAAAAAATCAACTAAATATTAAATTCTCAAATGTAAATTAAAATATCAATTAATAATTTATAAAAATATATAATCTTAGCTTAAAGTATATAAAAGTTGTTAAAATTTCTAAGATACATATCATATGCAAATTAATGATTTTTAATTAATAAAATAGTTATTCCATTATTAATATTTTTATTTCTCTAATTTTTTGAAATAAAAAATCATTTTTCTGAAATAAATGTACATTATTAGATTTGATAGGTTCAATTTAATATTATATTCTTAAATATTTTGTAAACAATTTTTTATTTTTTTAAATAATAAATATGTTGTTATTATTGTAAATTAAAATATTAATTAATAATTTGTAAAAATATATAAAAAATTTAAGATGTATATCGTGTGCTAATTTATAAATTTTAAGTATTAAAACAAGTGTTCTATTATTAATATTTTATTTTTATAAATTTCTTGATATTAAAAATCATCTTTTGATACAAACATGGATTTGACAGATTATTTATTCCATTAGTTTATAAATTACTAGTTTTGAATATTATTCATTTGAATTTTTAGTTGGGATTTGTTAAACATAAACATGTGTTGTTTGTTTGAATTGCATGTTGACACCAAAACTAGTAAAATTATTTCCTTTACATTTATTATCACAAGATGTAATGTGGCTTAGCGGTTTAAGTTGCATTTAAGGTTTAGACACTTTGTGCTAGGTGACCTCAGTTTGAATCACACCATATTCATCTTTTTGATAGAGAGGCGCAGTGTATCAATGTGTATCAGTTGATACAATGTGATATAGGCCAACACGCACCCGTATCTATCCAATACATACAATTCACAGGATATGTTTCTATTAGTAGCATATCCCATGCCGCCATTGACTGATACTGATACGATATGTATCAGACATATCATAGCAATATATAAACCTTGGTTCCAATAATACATGCAGGTAATTACTGATTACTTTGTATATATCCTCAGGGGATTTTGGCTCCATGACTTCTATATCACGAGCAAGAGTTAGATAGCCTTCACTTAATTTAGTGTTATTGATGATATCCTGTAATGCCTCCCTGTCATCGTCATCTGCAACCATATCTTCATCAAGTAAAAATGCTACCCCCTGCATTAAAGAAATATAAATCAGCAAACAAGAGCCAAATATCTATGAATCAAGTAAGACAAATTAACCAATTGATAGTGACTCAGTTGGTAGGATCTCTGACTCGTCAGAGTAGAGACCTGGGATCAAATCCCACTGCCACCAGGGTTGGGGGTTAAGGGAGGGGGATGGGCTACCCCCGTTGTGTAGCCCCATAAAAAAAAAAAAAAAAAAAAAAAAAGACAAATTGAAGACTTTCATGCAAAGTGAGCATCAAAAACTATAATACATGCATAGGATGGTCTCATTCAATAAAATTCACTTATTTGTGTTTTCTTCTCCATCATTTCCAAACCCTTCCTTACCAACTTGCATGTCCCTACATGACCTTTACTGTCTCTGGTATACATCCCAAACCATGAAAAAATCCACAAGCCCAATACCCTCCGCCAAAAACAAAAAGAAAGAAGAAGATAATTCAGAACTATGAAACTATGAAGACTAGTAGAAGATCAAAATGTAAGATTTAACATGGAAGGCACCATACCTATTGCACGCCCAATAAAAAGAAAATGAGACAACTTCCCATCATAATCAGCACAACCAAAAGCAATACTTGAAATACACTAGTAGAAAAAGAGAATTTTCCAATTTCTCATCTAGAGAATATTGTGGGAATATAATCTAAAATTCTAAATGCAATCAAATGGTTGTGTACGTTTGTATCAGGCAAGAAACCATATAATTCATGCTGGATTTGGTTATTCAAGGAATAATAACATTGATACTAACAATAATGACCTCCGGCACAATCAGATATCCCTTAATTGAGCAAATGATTACTGCACCACACTCAAAGCAATGCATATGAAAGGTAATTCTAGACAAATGATCTCAAAATGATGGAACTTACATGTCGAGCAAGAATATAACAGAACTGCTTCTTTTGAAGAAGATCATTGCAAGATGTAAAGATCTGTGTCACGTACTGTCAAGCATAAATTGGAAAGTATAAGAACCATAGGAGAAGAAATCTTTTGGGATGACCACACAAACAACTCTTTATTCATGTAAAAAAAAAATTGTATGAAAAAAATTTAAGGGATGTAGCAAGTCATCTACACTTCAAACACCCAAAAAAATCTAAAAGAAATTATTTGTATTTTACAATGAAGTGCAAACCTGCAAGTTGTCCAAGAAGAGTGCAATCCGAAGTGCACTTGGGTACTCTTCAAACTTGAGATAAATTGTGTAAGCTATATCCAGAACTAACATATCATCTGGTCCAGGGAGATAACTGCAAAATATTTGAATGTGGAATTATGATTTTCAATAGGAAAAAGAAAGCCTTCGAATGTATTGCCTCTAAAAAAAAAACATTCACAATGTAAATTTGTTTTTCTTTTTCCTATTTTCTTTTGATCTGCAACCAAGGAAAAAGAAAGCTTGGTTTCTAGGCTGATACTTCCAGACAAAAGAAGAGTACATTAAAATCATGTAACAGACCCAATCCCATTGATGAAACACCATTTTTGGGTGCCTAGGGTGGTTATCCTTTTTTGGACTGCCTTCTTTGTATTCTCTTATCCATATCTAATGAAACAATTATCACTTATGAAAAAATTAAATAAAAAATAGATTATTATGAGATTATTAGAACTTTCTGTACATGTAGTCCAATGTGTCATATTCCAGTTAACTAATATTTATCCACCTCTTTTTCCAAGTTTTGTATTTATTTTCCTACTTGCAACTATACCTCCAAGGCAAGAAAGCATCCATATTTTTCATCTAAAAGTTCTATACTAAAAAATGGACAAACAACCTAAATAAGTAAAATCATTTTAAATTAAAATGAAATAATTAAATGTATTTTGTTCATTACAATCTTAAAGCAATGACAATAGCTCTGGTTTTTATGTTACGTGTAAAGAAATAAATGAGCTAATTAGCATGCCAAAGGCAAGTTTGATATTAAACAAGCAACTCAAACTCACTGTCAACACTGCGAATCAATAAGATTTTGTGGGGGGGNGGAGGGAGGGAGAGAGAGAGAGAGAGTATTGTCATTAATCCATTCCCCTGTTGACTTGATCCAGAACATTGCATTTAGGGAGAGAGAGAGAGAGAGAGAGTATTGTCAATAATTATTTCCCTACTACTTCACATGCTCTGGGACTAGAGGAAAAATGCTTTTGAAGCTAGAACATCCAGAACAAGAAAAATAACTTTAACAAGGTACTTACCTAGCCGAACTAGTAAGGTACAAGCATGTCCTTTTGAAATTTGTAGCATCAACATGTTCAACTAACAGATCAAGGTCTTCAACCTAGGTCAATTTAAAAATTATACATCCCTTTCCAAATGAACAATGAATGAGATTAAAAGAAATGAGACTTCAATACTACCTCCATTAGAAGATCTACAGCTTCAGGTTCAGCATTATGCTGCAACACAAAAGGAAGAAAGAAATAATAAGTCTTCTGAAAGAAAGGGATAAAACAATTAAACAATGACTGTAACTTCCAAAAGAACTGGACAAGCAACCCAGTTTAAGATAAACAATGAAGAAACAGAGATCTTCAGTTCTAAATTTCTCATAAGCAATATTCATCAACAATACCTTCATATGGAAAGTAACAATTTGTTCCACAAGCTCCATTATGTCATCTATTGTTGCCTCCTCAATCTGCTGTTGTGAAAGAAAAGCAAAGATATAAAATAATAAGAGAAATAATTACAGAAGGGTCTTAATAATTAGGAACATAAGACTGCAAATGAAATTCCCATATGTAACTTAGATAAAGATGTACATCCCATCACCACCTAATAGATACCAGAGACCCCCAATATGATTAAAAATTGCATAATTCAATGGCCATTAAGGATACAATATCACGTAGACACTGGTTCATAGAAAAATTAGTCCAAAAATTGAAGACATATAATTGGCACACGAATGCCAAAAGTAAAAGAAAAGTAGAATATATTTTAAACATTAAGTTTGTAAACTATCTCCTCTAAATTCCAAAAAACTTCTTTCAAACATCATAATCAAGATTGTCTACAGCATTTGAAAAGATCAATTGCCCAACCTGCCGCTTTGTATACTCCTGTGCAATTTCTCCAGCAAGATTCCTGATTAAAAACAAATGTATCATCAGTAGGGATTTTTAAGACATGGAAATGGAATGGTACATTGGCACCATTTATCAAAAAAAAATGGTACATTGGCACCAGAAGGATGCAAGCAGAATGAACTGAAATAATAAAAAGTTTTAAAAAAATGCCCATAAAGCATCATATGCTGCAAGTAAATTCCAGGCAAATAGCCCATTTTATGGCCAATGAAGATGTGCATTTCTTGCACAATATTGAATAAGGGTACAATCACCACCTAAAATTCAGGAAAATTATTTCCATTATTTGTCACAAGAACATTGCTAATATACACTCTTGATTCATGTTCAACATGGTTAATGTTAAATAATCGAAGTACGACCCAGTTACAACTGGATGTGGGCAAAGGTTTTTTTTTTTTTTTTTTTTTGATCAATGACTGTGAATTGAATTAAGATTATGTTTTATTTCAGAGGGGGGGGGGTAATAAATATAAAAGAATTATATCAAAACCAAAAAGATCAAATTAAAACTCCAGGTGATGAGAAATCACCCCAAGATAAGCCAGAAAAGGCAAAAACAGGAACCAAATGCCAACAGGACACCCTACACCCGCCCAAAACATCTATATAAAACCACCCCAAACATTTCAATGCAAGATGGAACAGAACAACCCATATGTCAATAAACCTCATGATTGCACGTCCAAATCGCAGATCAAGGGAAACCTGCCACACCCTTACAGCCAAACAAAATCTTTAAACCTCCTAACAATGCCCATAAACTCCAGCTCCACCACCAAACTGAGCAGGTGTTGTCATCCTTACCTCTTTCCAACTTAGCAAGTGTTTTCCTAGCAAATTTTCTTCCCAACAGGTCTCATTTGGTCAAGAATCCCATCCCTATCTCTCTCCTGCACCTCCGATACTTGTTCCTCCTTATCTGAGTCTTCCTTTTCAGGGTCTGACACAATCTGGTTGTATTTCACATAAATCAACCACCCCCATCACCGTAAGATATTGATCCTTCTGGTTTAAAACTTATCCATCTTCCCCTTATTGTGTCCTGCTTTAACTTTCACCCTCTTCCTCTTGTAAAGTTTCTTGAATTTATTACAAGGCCCTACCCCACATAATCCTTCTTTCAATCTAGAGAAAACCTTAGTCACATTAACCAACTGTCCTGAATTTGCACCTTTTGATTTTTTTTTTTGGATTTGAAGGTAATTTACTTTTAACTATATCCTCCTTCACCATTCCATCTTCACTTACTTCAGGGTTCAGGCCTTCTTCTATCCAAGTCTTTGTTCAATTTCCCATCAACAATTTCACTGAAACTTCCTGAAACAAAAGACTCCCCGCCCTCAACTACATACTTATTTTTTTCAGAATCCTTCTCCCCAACTGCGTCTTCTCTCTCTATGGGAAAAGCAGTCCTTATCAAAACATAAGCCAACCAAGTTAATTAAAGCAAAGACAACTCAATCAGTTCTGTAGATTACTTTCATGGGTTATTCATGTAAGCATTTCTTCCTTTTGTTCTTTTCCTCTTTTGGTGGAGGGGAAGGAAGAATGATGACTCAACAAATCATACATTTTCCATCAACACAGCCAATCAAGTGTGAAGGCAATAAATAAGGTCATGTTTGGATAAGCTTTTTCAAAGTACTTTTGTGCTTCGGCAGTAAAAAAAGAAATCCAAAGTTTGGTTAAGTGTGCTTTCGGAAGTAGATTCCCTGAAAGCAAAATTATATCTGCAACAGAAAGCACAAGTCATTCTAGGCTACTTTGGGCCAAATATGCCTTAACAAAATGCAATAAGGTGTAAACGTATGCAGCCTTACCATGTGTGATGTAAACACAATAAGATGCACACACGACAATATATATGCCATGTTTAATGCCTGTAAATATGACACATGGGAAAATATATGCCATGTGGCAAAATTTGTGACACATGGTGAAATATATGCCATATGGAAAAATGTCCCACATGACAAAATTTGTGACATGGCAAATATATGCCACATGGCAAAACTTGTGGCACAGAAAAATATATGCCACCTGGCAAAATGACATGGCAAAAGTTATGTCATATGACAAAAATTGTGACACATTACAACATATATGCCATATGACAAAAATAGAAGCCAATTTTGATGTCCATAAATGTGGCCAAATATACACCAAGTGGCATCCATATGGCACAAAAAATGGGTCATGTAACATTTTTATATTACAAATTTTAACAAATAACAAGATGACATGGGGAATTCATCATGTCACATGTGGTAAAGCAACATGTTGTAACCAAACATTTATTTATGCTTTTACTTTCAAAAGATTTTTCGAAAACAGTGTTTACCAAACTACAAAAACAAACAGTAAAAACATAAAACGTGCTTCATGCTTTTATACTCTGAAAGAACACAAAGGCAAAGGCTTATCCAAACACAACCCAAGTCTTTAAGCTTCACATAGTTTTTAAGGCGCCAAGGCGAGGCTAAGCGATAGGGGGCGCCTTGTTGCCTAGTCACCTAGGTGATGGATTTTTTTAAGTAAAACCATATATCCTAGGGTAAATCCCTAGGTTCCATAACCATCTTTCCTTAATAATTATCCACAATTTTCATAAGAGAAGTATAAATTTCATGTTTTAAGTTTAGAAACTCAACATTTTATGAGAAGAAAAGGAACAAAGAAAAGAAATTTCAAAAAATATAGGGGCTGAACCCCTACTTTTGTTATAGGAAGGAAGAAAAGAAAAGGTGGAAGAAGAAGATCTGTAAGAAGAAAATGTGTTGATTAGACAAAATTTTAAGTTCTTCCCTTGCTTATTGGTTCAGGTTCTAAAATCTTTGAGGATTCAATCAAGGATCAAAACTTCAATACGATATGCCCCGTATCAGGTGTATTGTATTGTATCTTTGGCGCCCCAATACACATGTTTACAGGTGTTTTCGGGAACCCATTTTTTAAAATAATATATATTTAAAAATGAAATTGAAACCCAAAGAAATAAAAAAATAGGGGGAGTATCGTTATTAGTACTGATGCACCTCTGCCGATACACAGAGGTTTATCGATAGTTCGATACTTTGAACCATGGGTTCAATACAGCAGTTAGCAATGTTTGTGTTGATTATAAAAAGAAATTATTAGCACATAAACACATAAAATGAGTATTCTAGTTTATAGTGCCTATTTTATAATTATAATATCCAAAAATTAAAATATAAAAGTATTTTATAACATAGTGCACAAAACTACTTGGCGACTGGGCGAGGTGAGGCGAGCCTCCAAGGGCGCCTTGTCGCCTAGGCGTCGCCTTGACAACTACGAAGCTTCATTATCACTTTAAATCAAGACTAAGGGCTTGTTCATTTGCTCTGACATCTGAAAGTGCAATAATTACATTAAGAGGTATATTGGTATTGGTGAGCTTTTCTTTCCTCTGAACTCTGAATCCAAAGAATGTTATTCTCATAGTTGTCAAGGCGTCTAGGCAATTTTGGGCGACATTGGGGCGCCTAGTCACTTAGGCGATAAAAATTTTATAATATAAAAATCTGACTTTTGGCTAGTTTCCTAGTTTTATATACCATTCAACATGTATGTTAATTGAAAAAATAGCAATTCTCTTTATTAAAAACATTAAATTTCCTCTAAAAATGTGGTAAATCATCACATCTAAAAGATAAAAATCTTTTACATATATTAATTTCATTATTTTCAAAAATAGTACTACTATAATAAGTATTTAATAGAAAAAATATATTAATTAGTAGCTAAAGATGGTTATCAACTTAATATTCAAGATGGAAAGTAAAATAAAAAAAAAAAACAAGGATGGAGTTTCTGTTTTTTTTTTTTATCAATAACACCATCTTCATTAAATTAAAAGAAAAGAGGGAATATGGATACAAGAGGGGAGATAAAATATCTTAGCTCCCCAAAAACAGAAAACAAAGGGAGTGCAAAGAGAAAAGATTAAAAGCTAGCCCAAAAAACAGACTCCCTATTCACTCCTTGCTTGGCCAACCTATCTGCAAATGAGTTGGCACTCCTCTTCACCCAGCTGTATTGAATCTCAATGTCCCTACCCAGCCATAAGAACTGTTTTTTTTCATTGTTAAAGTTCCACAAACCATTGTCCTTTGTCTCCAACCAACTAACCACCACCTTTGAATCACCTTCCAGGATCAAACGGTTGATATTTAATTCCTTTGCTCTTCGAATTCCTTCAAGCGCTGCAAGGATATCAGCCCTAAGAAAGTCATCTTCTCCAATAGGGCCAGAGAATAAAGCAATAACAATCCCTTCCTCATTCCTAAAGACTCCCCCAATCCCAGAGGGCCCTGGATTCCTTACACTGTTGCCATCAAAATTCAGCTTTATAAAGCCCGAGGGGGAAGAGGACCAAAACGGACAAAGTGTGTCCTCTTGCATCTAGCATTGGAAGCAATCTCTTTCCAGTTTCTTAGCAAGTCATCCACAGGAAATCTGAAAGCAACTCCAAAGATTTTAGCCAGTGGATAGCCCTTAAAAGGATTCGATCTAACAATTTTTCCAATGTTCTTTTCTTGTCGGAAAAAATGCGTGCGTTTCTTTCTTCCCACAATGACCAACATACCGCTGCCCTAATACACCTCAACATAGTCTTCCCTCGCTTCCTAGGCCAACTGAAAAAAGGAGAAAACAAACCTTGGACAGTCTCCGGAGGATACCAAGAACACCCAAAACGGGAGAAAACCCACTCCAAACAGTTTTAGCAGCCTTACAAGAGACCATGAGGTGGTAGCCAAATTCCCCATCAGCTTTACAAAGAGCACATCTATTAGGAAGTAGACAATAGTTGGGTCTCTTTCTCTGAAGTAAGTCTAWAGTGTTGATTCTTTCCAGGAAAATTTCCCAACAAAAAAAACCGACCCGAGGAGGAATAGGCCTGCTCCAAATTTCCTTAACCAGAAAAGACAACCCAAAGGGGATAGGAGGCTGAGTTAAGGTTTCAAAGAATGA